AAATATTAAACTAACAACATAGTCACTATATACTTTAGGAACATTTTCCCAGTGCTCAGGAAATCCAAGTGTTTTTAGGGACTGATTGACGTTCTTGCAGAAGATATAAGGGGCCAAAATACCCTGCAGTTGAGGTCATTGTTGGACTTGATTCAAGGGGTTTCCTGTTTGGTCCAATGATTGCACAGGAGTTGAATGTTGCATTTGTTCCTGTTAGGAAGAAGGGAAAACTTCCGGGAGAAAAACACCGAGTGGAATATTCTTTAGAATATGGAAAGGTAATATTTTTGCATAAATGTTTTACCTATTTAATAAAATTGTTTTATAATTTTGGCGAAATTTTTATCCGTAGTTTTTTCCCGCTTTCTTTTTTGAAATTCATAAATGTAAAACGACATTATGCTATTTTTCCGCGGTCAAATATAGCTGCAATAGTGATATAATTAAAAAATTGACTATTGTATTGGTGACTAACAAATACATTATAGTGAAAATGTTTAGCAAATATATAATAATATATAAAAACTAAGTTGATTATAAAATTAGTGCCCCACTATTAGAATTTAACAATGCGGATAAGTTCTGGACGGTATTAGTAGAAATTACATTGTATCACATGGATTATTTGTATCACATGGATTATTGATTATTTTCGCATCGTAAAAAATAAAAAAAGCACGATTGTGACATAATATAAAGATACTTTGACTTTTTTCCAGTGCTCTCATCATTTGCACTTGGATGGGAATTATGTCACATTAAACATTTATCATTATGAACAACCCGAGTTGTTTAACTGATTGTATTAGATAATTTACATATACATGTACAAAGTATTTTATATCGAATATGCGAATATGAATCTGGTTGGCACAGTTTTTTGTTTGTTTTATGTTATATTCTATTGACGTGCAAGCGCGCATGACTGAGACACATTTATACAGTTATTTCAGTTTTAAAATTCTTCAAATTTCAGGACTCCTGTGAAATTCAGAAGAATTGTCTACAGCCTGGACAAAAAGTTGTAATAGTTGATGATTTATTAGCCACCGGAGGTATACTCGTATTGATAAATATTCCATTACAACAAAGTTTTGAAATATGTTTATTTCCTTTTACAATTATATTTGTTGCGACACGCTGTTTAATTTTCATTTTGATCTATGGTATGTTTTGCAATTAAGAGATTATTGAACAGTTCCTCAATCTCATTAAAAATCATAACATAACTTTCGCTATACTTCCCTTCGTGTAGCGAAGAGTAACTGAGCAGAGCGAAAACGATGATCTGATTTTTATGGAACAGAATTAATGCATTTATTCTATCTTGCTTGATGACATTGGAACTTGCATTATGCTTAATTCCATCTTGCTTGATGACATTGGAACTTGCATTATGCTTGATTCCATCTTGCTTGATGACATTGGAACTTGCATTATGCTTAATTCTATCTTGCTACATGACATTAGAACTTGCATTATGCTTGATTCCATCTTTCTTTATGATATTTAAACTTTGCATTATGCTGGTTTCCATTTTTCGTTATTTCATTCAAACATTTCGTAGTCACCAATATTTTCATTGAGTGATAACTAATAAACTGGAACAAGCCATTTGGAATACTAAAATGTTAACGTCATATACCTTTATGCATAAGCTACCTTTCTTCATGCTCTATACAAACCATTTACGGTTTAGTTTTTTTGTATTACTTTTATGTATAAGTCATTTAAAATTAACTATTTAATGTTCCCTGATGGATTTTTTAAAATATGACTTATTATAAGCTCGCATGGCGTGATTACTATAAGCTTTCGCTTATATCCATTATGCAGTGTTTATGCTTAATAAAGCTCGGTGTCTGAGGCTTTATGGATAATGTTTATAATGTTTGATCATCTTACATTATGATAAACAATTAAAACTATGTACTGTTAAGGGGCGAGAACTCTGTTATCGATGTCAACGGAATTTTTTCCACGATTCGCCTATCATCGGAATTTTCCGTATAGATACTGCGTACATGTATATATAAATACGTACTAAGCGTTTAATACATACATTGCAGTTGAAAGAATATAAATACAAGTAGTAAAGGATTATGCAATATAATTTTATATATGTATACAGTCTAATAGAAAAAAATATGCTCGTAAAAAGTGATGCAATGGGGCAGTTACACGTACAGTCAGTGGCGGTTTCAGGCCCTGGCTTAAGGGCTGCACCTACCCCCAAATATACGACGCATTAAAATATACATGTATAATAAGGAAAGAAGGAAGTTGTTTATTTTTGTAACATGTGCATAGTCAATTACAAATGAGCCGCGTCACGACAAAACCAACATAATGGGTTTGCGACCAGCATGGATTCAGACCAGCCTGCGCGTCCGCGCAGTCTGATCAGGATCCAGGCTGTTCGCTACCAGTTTCTCTACTTGTAAAAGAGTTGGAAAGCGAACAGCATGGATCCTGATCAGACTGTGCGGACGCGCAGGCTGGTCTGGATCCATGTTGGTCGCAAACCCATTATGTTGGTTTTGTCGTGACGCGGCTCAAATGTTGGGCATATGTGTGTCTGATTATAGATCAGACATCCCTTACACACCACCACATTCACATATATACATTTGTGCTTAATGATATACTATGCACATCTTTCAGTAACATATTTTATCACAGAAATTTATTGAAATCTATAAAATTCTTACTAAATATGTTTTATTTAAATAAAAACACATACACATAATGTATAGGAATCTGCTTTCCTTATTACGGGTCAAGTAAAGTTGTGTCTGTCTTTAAAAGAAACTTCCATATATTTTTTTTTGTAATAACACTATACGTTTACGAATGTATATTCATACTGCCCACTTACAGTGTAAAGGATTGAAAGCACAATATTTGTATGAAGCCAAATTATATTCATTTTATTTTACAGAAAAAAATCAAGTTTGTACTGTACTAACTACTAAGTCGTGGCCACGAGTTACTAGATCGTTTAAGTCGTGGGAACGAGATAACTGTGTCGTGCAGACGAAATAATTAAATCAGATTACACCATGATTTTCTAAACTTAGAAAATTTCTGTTTAAAGATTTACGTGCAACATTAATTTTTTGAAAATACTGAAGTGTTCACTTTGAACTTGATACATGTCTTAAGGATCATCAGGCCCATAAACCATACATTAATTTTGACTTAGTTATAGCCCTTTGTTGGAAATAATTCTATGATAGAATTGGTCATTTTGTACGTACAACGGCCTGTTAACATTTGAGAGGGACTTAGTCCTGGTTTATTTTATTGGGTAGGGACATTGCCCATGGACAGTAGATATCCTATGAGGATGTTTGAGGTCACAGGTCAGACAAACATGACACTTCATGTAAAATCATTGTCTGATCGATGAATGATTTAGAAAGAATAAGCTGTAGTTTATATAACCTAAAAAGATCAGTAGATGACATCTAATAATTTTTAGGCAATTTGGTCAGAAATCAGGGTCACCATGACGCTAAATCTTTGATCAATCAATAACTTGTATGAATGGTACTTTTACGGACAGGAGAAGTAGGGGCATCCTTGTTAGGAAAATTCATATAAATAGTGTAATTTGATTGGTTATTTATCTCGCTCGCACAACTTAACTTTCTCGTGGCCACCGCTAAACTTTCTCGTGGCCACGACATAGTAACTTGTTCCAACGACTTATTCCTCTCGTGGCCACGACTTAGTCATCTCGTTCCCACGACTTAATTATCTCGTGGCCACGACTAAGTAACTCGTGGCCACAATATAGTATCTCGTTCCCACGACTTAACTATCTCGTGGTCACGACTTAGTAACCCGTGGCCACGACATAGTATCTCGTGCGCATGAGATAAATAAAAACACACACATGTCACCTTTGTGCCACCGTAAGTTTGAGCATAGTATATCTTAAAATTCAATTTCACTATTGCTCATACGACTATCACACACGCCCAAAAAGAAATGTAAACAATTATATAAGAGGTGAGTTGCCACTTGTAGGATGAGTTATTAGAGAAATCTATAACATTTTTTTTCACATGCTGGCGGAATATTCAAAAACACGCACTTTTCGTCTGTCGCATCGTGTTCTCTTGTTTTCCAGTAAATTTTCCCTTTACATGGCAGTCTCCAACTAACACTGTTCTGTATACGCCCCTGTATAAAGGGGACGTAAATTTGTTTTACTCCACGTGCCAAAATACGGGATCATCTGGAAAATAACGGGATGTACCGATAAAGCGACACCTGCTGTCATAATACGAACACAAATTATTGCAACTCGCATTATGCTTACTGCCAACTGCTTAGTGCGTACTGTCACATGCGACTATAATATCGCTATCGTTGTCATCTTCGTTGTCGATGCGCAGTGATCCTATATTGCATTATATTTGTAATCAGTGAATATATTGAAGCATATGAATGCTAAGACACATCAAATTCGCCAATTATTGATCAAAATTAATAATTTATTGTGACATAATGTTGACAATATAAGGCAAATTAAAGGTACTGACAGAAACTAACCATGTGACATTTAGTTATATCAAGAACAAGCAAAGAATGTTATCTTAAACACCAAACATAATACGTTGATCTTTATAAAAGATGCAATTAAACATATAGCATATTAAAATATGTGAGTTTGATGGTTTAGTAGGGAACACATAAGGTAGCAATTACATGAAAGTGCATTCAGTAATCATAAGGCATGATTGAATTCAGCAAAACGCAGGTTTTCATTGTCATAAAGAAGTATAGAAGCAAGCATAATGTAGGTCCCAATATTATAAAGCAAGATAGAATAAATGCACTAATTCTGTTCCATAGATTTTAATAAGATTGACAATTCATGTTATTATTTGTTTGTTTTAACATTGACTTTGTATAACAAATTAACAGATTGATGTAATTTCTTTTGCATTTAAAAATATGAAATATTTTATATTTTATTTGTATATTCAGGTACAATGAAAGCTGCATGTGATCTTATGGAAGCAGCAAAAGTGGAAATTCTTGCATGTTTAGTAGTTATAGAACTAAAGGTGTTAAAAGGAAAGGATCAACTAAAATACCCTCTACTATCATACATTGAATAGGCGCATATTTATTTAATTATAAAGTCACAATTACGAATAGAAATATGAATTATCTTGAACTTGGATTGTTGCTTAAATGAAGTTTCAAATTGTGTAATTGTTAATAGAAACATTCCCATGTTCAGGTTTGAAAATATACGTACATGATATTTGTATAATTAAGCTGTTTGTATAACTTTTATATTACTTACGAATTACGGGTAACGGGGTAATCATGCGGATTTTGTCAGTTTACACATTATAGCCTCGACCTATAAGCCGCACGTCTTGTGAGCGAGTAAATTGATAAACTAAATCATTGACATCACATCACTTCAAATGTTACATGCATGCTTTTCTTGTGCATTAACATTATATGGAAATATATTTATTGTAAATAAAATATAACCAATGAACTTTCAACGTTTGAACCACATGATGTTCCAAAAGAGATCATTATCGAACCAATTTTATTAATTAAGCCTCGTTTCTTTTATAAAATCCATACCAAATGCATATTGTATCCTATATTGCCTCGAGCGTTTTCATTTTTAGAGCCCGAAATATCTACATCAAATACATATCGTACTCCATCTATCGTCATTTTATTTTCAGGGTAAAAATAATTCTAATCAATTCCTTATTGTACTTGAAGTTACGAAGTTCTGTAAAAAATATGAAATGAATAGGTCATTGTACATCCTTGAGAACAATACTTATTCTATTGGACTTGTACACTGCTTCAAAACCTATATATGGTATGGCTGGCGCCTCGACAATATAGTTTTAACAGTTATGTATTCGTCTAATACAATTCAATATTGTACTCAACACTGTTTATTAACCTTGTATTAATGGCGCAATAGCTTATTGTATATATTTATTGTGAAAAAATGTACACATGTATTGATTTATATTTATGATATACTGTAAATTTATAATAAAAGACTAAAATATAACAAATTTTCATCTCGTCATTATACAAGACACTGTGTTATCAAACGACTTGCCTTACTTTTATGCCCTGTATATATCACTTGCAAAAATACCATCTAATAGAAATAGAAATATTTATACTGAATACTAATTAACTCGGAAGGGCGTTGCTTACTATTTTCATTATGTTGGATATACAATGTATAATCAAAATTGTTAATACGAATTAAAAAGCCGATTATAAGAGTGACATTTTTCTTGATACTGACTGGCAGAATAAGATTTAGGTAGAATAGAAGAAGGATCGCATATGGTACTTGGAGCCAGTCTTGCAATTCAGGTATAGCAAAGTCTACAAGTTGTATGTCACGGTTCAGAACTGTTTACTAATTAGGGGAGAAAATGTGTAAGCGGCCGGATAACTCATTCGGTAGAGCCGTGGAACGGTATTCCGAGGGTCCAGGTCAAGCTGCACATTTTTCTCACCCTGTGACATGCAGATCATGATAACGTTAACTAAGTGAGCTCTTAATTCATACCACAGTGTTGTATAAACTGCATTATTATAAACACCATGCATGTGCGCGTGATTGTCCCGAGTCGCTGGATGTATAAGAATGAATTTTCCATGTAAACATATTCGATCAGTGAGGTTCTAGGTAATGAAATAGCGTCTATAACTGTTACAATTACTATGTTCGATCTAATATGGTCATTTGATTAATGCTATGGAATAACTGGGAAATAGTATGCTCAATAAGTACTTATGCTAGAACAACTGGAATACCGTTGTTAGGACTACCTAGCTCAGGGCATATCGCCATATTTCGGAGAATTGCAAATCGGCTTACAGTGTTTGGTCATAATGCCTATATAACTAGGCTTATCGTGTCCTGATTTTCAAAGTTTTTTGGTCATGAGTGAAGAACTGGGAGAAAACATCTTGTTTGGAACTTATGTGTGTCATTTATGCAAACCAAGGAAGACATTAAAAGTTTTCTTCCCAGATGGAAACATGCGTATTTTATATAAATTAATATTTAGCCCAATAGCTAGAGTTTTGGACTGAGAATCGGGCGACCCGGGGTCGATTTCCGGACGGTGCAGGTCACTTTCGTTGTGATCGGTCATAAAGTCTTTTCTACGGTCATTCGCTGTACCTCTGCTCTGGCATGTACAGAAGTTGAAGTTCCTTTCGGAAGTGAAGGAAAAAATACAGGTAAACTGCTTGACAGCCTGCCCAGGAACGATGCGGTGGCTGAGCTGTGAGCATGGATCGTATACAGTAATGTATTATCATGTCTTGCATCATCTACATGCATTTACAAATGTATGCTTTAAGTGTCATTGAGAATATAGTGTTAAAGTATTTTCCAGTGGGACACTGAATCATGATTTTTAAAATAGCGCAGATTTAATCTTGCATCAGTTTGTTATATGTATTAAAAGTATTCGTATGAAATTAAAAGTTACTGCACACGTCGTCAAAGAAAGGGACAATCTAAATATATGCGAATAGAATACGAACCTAATTTGCATCAAATGAGCACGTAGTATTTTGAAAATGTTTTTGATAATCCAGTGAAACTAATTTCGGTTGGGGTCTTTCAAATAGGATACACACTTTCGTAAAATCTGCCCGTTTCCAGACCATATTCTATTTGAAAGACCCTGGTGCGGTACAGTAGCCAGGCAACATAAATAGCATTTCAGCTTTTTACGGAATATCATTTTGCAACGATGATAAATATGTATATCAAAACGATTCTAAGGAGAACCTTTCCATACTTTTATTGGTGAATCCACCTATATATTAATGTTATTTCAACTACGGATAAAAAGCAAGATTCCGTTTTTGTGTTTAACACGACCATTTTACTCGTTTCCTTTGCAGTAAATGAATGATGTGTACAGTTTAAAATGATAACCCTACGTCGCTCACAAAAGATCCAAGACTGGAAAAAGTTATGTCATTAGGTCCTGTACGGGGCCGCAAGGGCGTGCATTTTTAACAAGAGATTAAGGAAGATATATTGTTTAAAATAACTGTGGGTTAATTACGACTGACGATGTATATGCTGTCACAAAAGCTGACTCGATTTTGAGTACATTGTACTTAGGTGAGCTAAAGAATCACATGAACACATGCTCAAATCAGTAATCAATAAGGCCTTTTTGCAAGTTTGTTTTGCCTTCCGACAGTTTTATACTAAAGTTTCATATTGAAGCAAGAACCTGTTGACAACATAGTGACCATTTATCAAGGTCACAACCCTCTTCAAATAAAGTAACCAAATAACTGCAACCTTGATACATAATATTACTGGAAACAGCTAGTTAGTTAATAACTATCTACTACACAAGCCTTTCTATCTCCAACGTTTCGAGGGGTTAAACAATTTTGTGTAGTAGATAATTAATAATATTATTGGCTGCATATCTGTCAAATAATAGTGTTTAATCAAAATTATGTAACGTTTTACGCCTTTTTACGTAATTATGGTCTGATAAAAATTAAATGTGACAAAAATGGAAAGTTAATACCAGTAATTTATCATGATAAGTTCAAATTTTTGCCATTAGGCCACGTTTCATTTCAGTGGACATGTAGTTTCAAAGAAGATATAAATACCTTTTCATCATTAGTGCTTATAGACTCCTAAGAGCAGGGCAAATTTAAACCTGGGTATTATTTACTGAAGTTCTATAATAAGCTACAAGCTGATACTTCTTGCCAAATATCTAAAGTCTGGGAATTGTTAGAGTCTGAGAAGAAGATTTTGAAAGTCTGGCCCGGCTTTCACGTTCTCAAAATGAGACAAAATTTAATCTAAGATTGTCTCAGTAGTGACTGAGATTCTTACTCACCTGAGCTGAGAAAAATTTAAAAACATTAGTGAAAGCCGGGCCTGGTTCCTCTATAAGTATATGTTACATAAGCTTCAACTTGATCTTACTTACATGTAACGAACCTTACAGTGACTGACGAATGAAGACTTACAATGATTGAAACACTGCATATAAAGTTATCATTTATTATACACACATATAATTATGTTTTACAATATATGCATATTTATCATGTATACGCAAATGTGTGGAGACTTAATGCTACGACCTATACATATATACATGTATATACATTTAAATAAATCTACTAATATTTCAAATAAATAACACATGAAAATTAATCAATTAAATTTTTTTGGCAAACTTTAACAAATATCTTAGTCAATCCTGTGTTACTCTTTCCAACACATTAACACGGGGGAGGAAGTGTAACACGAGGGATGGAGTTCTTATGATAACATGTCAAGGAGTTCTTGTGATAACTGTCACGGAGTTCGTGGGAAAAATATTGTATATACTGCAAAAAAAAACTCGCCAAAAATGGTAATTTTCATCCTTAGAAAGTGAGTTTTAGGTGCTAAATTAAACCTTAATGATTATTGCCTTACATATTGTATTATGTGTCAAAAACTAATATATATAATCCATTTTTCATCCCCTCTTGCTTAAAATCTCGAAGTTTTGAGTAAAATTTCCAAATCATTTGCCAATTCGCAAGTATTGACCTGTAATTTCATCCTTGCCATACAAAAAAATTTAGAAAAGCTTCGTATTTAACATAAAAAATAGAAAAGCTTCGTATTTAACATAAACATAAAAAAATTCATTTAATCCTTACAGAATTTTTTTGTTTATTCAGATGTCAATAAATCATCTAATAAATTAATTTTCTATAGTTTACTGTGAGCCAAACATTGAACATAAACAAATACATCCATTTATATGTAGTGTGTCAAATCAAAACAAAACAGCAGTTACACTTATATTGCAATAACAAATACTATATATACAGCTTATAAATTATGAACAAAAATGAATAATTTAAAATAATGATATAATTATATCATAACAGTCAACAGATCTATATCTCTCCAGATAAAGTAAAAATCAAGCAAAATTCATTTATCAGAACTTCAAGGTCAATGTCATTGGTGAGTGGAAGTAAAAATCAATTTGGTATTTTTCAAGTTCTTGTATAAAGAATTGTTGTGTCCAAGTCAGACATGGGGTAATCTTAATCAGTAATTTAATTTAATCGATTACAATTTTTTGAGTAATCACAGTAATCAGTAATCATATTTTTTTTCCTGTAATTTAATAATAATTTAATCAATTACATGACCAATTAATCAGTAATCACAATGATTACATGTATGATTACAATACATGTTAAGCTAAAAAAAAAATTGCTAAACAAACATACATATAAAGATTAAAAAAGTACCAGTGTCAATGCCTACTAATTGTCTTAGCTAGTGTAGGTGAATTAAATGCAGTCACCCAGGTCAGATTTGATGACACCTGTGTTTTAATAAGGTGATGAAAAGATCACTGAAAGATTGACCCAATACATTAATGATTGTCACAATTATACCACTTCAATTTAGCTGTGAAATTATAACAATGGCCTGGATAGGTATATTATCACTTATTGAGAAGACTTTACAGGTTCAGTAAAGAGCTGGTATAAGCTGCAATTACTGACAGAAGTGAGATATGGTTATATTTTCTGTTACATTTTGGTATTGTTTAGTCCATGTAGAAGCAAAATGTACAAAAAGATTTTCATCATATCGAAAAGAAAGCAATACATAAGCATGGCAGGAAATATGCCTGCTGTTTTTAAATACTTCATATTGCTAGAAAAAAAAATCCTGATGATGGCAATGTAAGAGCTAAATGCACACTTTGCATTTCATATATATCAGGAAACTAAGCTGGATTATTTTTTAGTACATTTTTTGTATTGTAATGTTCAATAAAACGATAGTGTTGAACCATTGCATTTCATAATTTATGTACATGTAATCAGTAATCATAAATGTAATCTGATTACTCCTGTCAGTAATCAGTAATTTAATCAATTACAATGTCAAAATGGAGTAATCAGTAATTTAATTTAATCAAGCATTTTGACAAATAATCATAATTTAATCGATTACAATTGTCAAGTAATCGCCCCATGTCTGGTCCAAGTATGAAGACAAACCATTCATATATAACAAAGTTAAAGCCAGTTATAGCTAAAATCAAGACAAATTCAAACATTTGACCTTGAAGGTCAAGGTCATTTAAGAGTGAAGGTCAAACTCAGTCTGGCCAACTTGAAGGTCTTGCTCAAAGAGTTGTTATGTCCAAGTGTGAAGGCATTCCATCGAGAATTAAAACATTATGATCAATATTAAGGTTTACGGACGGCAGTGGCAACATCACCGGCATCATGACTGTACGCTCATTCTCAATAAAACACAGCATTTGATGTTCCACTGGGTAGCTCTTATACGAGGGTTTTTCTTGAGGTCAAAATGTCGTTAGAAAGGTGGCTGCCACTTTGTCTAATAGGGACCCTCTCAGTTTTACATTTTGATCTGGTATTTTTCTTTTACAAGTACCTTTAATGCCCTAAAATGTAACATACCTTACTGTCGCCACCTAGAATTTTCAACTTTGAAATTGTGTTTCAGATGAATAAGTTCCAGAATAAACAAAACATGTGCAATTAGTCATTGCTGCGTGTATATGCACTTTGATTATTAGTAAAAATTGTATTTGACTCTTAAAAACCTCATTGATATAATTGATTATCAAATGTCGCCAAATGCATACGAATAAATAGTGACAAACCTAAAACAATTGGAAGCGAAACAGAAATTACATAATTGAATTGATGCATGCTTAATAATACAGCAAATATATAATTATAAGCAAAAATAAACTTGCAGCGTCTCAAATATCATTCTGTTTTCGGAAATTTTCATTTTTTATTCAAACCTTTTCAACAGCATTTTAAAAAGAAACATACGTTACCATTGTTTAAGAGCTGATCCATTCAAGGAAGACTCCAAACAAGAAATAAAATTAACATGTGTGTAACTCTGATATATCAATCACAAATTATTGCGGGTTATACGCTCTTGCGTCATTTTACAACCCACTGTAAAAATTAAACATGCGTTACAGAAACATACGTTACCAACTTTTTAAAGTAATTTTATCAAAAGGGAAATTGAAGTAAGAAAGCATGTATAGCAGTAACATTAACTTCATTTTTACATTAGTAAGTAAATTTTATTAACTTTGTTTGAGTTTTAACTTGTTAAAGTAACCACAGTGAAACAAACGTTACTTTTATCAAACAAATTTTATATTGCTTACACATGCAAATATATAAACATAAAATCGCATTTATATGACAATAGAATGATTTACATTTGATTCCTAAATAAAAAAAGTCGATTTTACATGTAAGTTTCAATTCTGTGAATAAGTTCATAAATGAGCCAGTGTGAAACATACGTTACTTCAAATTAAAATTCCACAATTTTTGAAAATGAACGGTAAAGTTGGGATTAGCATGCCTGTTAGTAAAGGTAACCTTGTATTAAATGTAAGAAGATACAAAAGAGTTTTTGCAAAGGAATGATATTTTCATAATATGTTGATGTACCAGCAGAAATGTTAAAAATATATTATAAGCTTGAAGTTCTCAACAACAACAAATTCATTGATGCAAAGACTTTAGTGGCCGTATTTCATTCTATGTATAATAATGTTAAAATAATATCCAAAAATATAAATTATTTTACAAAAAATAAAATTGTTTTCGTAACCTTTACTTGTATTTGAATAAAATGAAACATACGTGACATGTTGTATGGGGATAAATAGAGAACTGCTTAGCAATAAATTTTCCAAATATGAAGAAAGTGGAAATTTGAATGTTTTGAAAAAAGGTTCTAAATACAACATTTGTGTATGCATTCAACGTCTCATATATTATATATGATATAAATCATTTCCAAAATTGACTCTTTTTTGCTTTCTACGAATATTTATCTTTGAAGAAATTAACTGAAAGTTAGCAAGGTACCCATCTTCCTTGAATTTCCCTAGGATAGAAAGTCCCTCTAGATAGAAAATTTACAGATTTTGATATATTTTACAGACATTTGTTATTTATATGCAGCCAATATGTTACATTATTAGATCTGAAATCTACGTTACCAAGGAAATACAGTGTCATTACGGAAATAAATGCAATCCTGTTATATTATAGTTTCTTGTTGAAAATATTTCTGGCAAACTTGCAAAATACCATAAACTTTTACTTCAGCGATAAAAAAAATGACACAATGACAACATCAAATTTTTAATTTTTTCCAACCTCAAATGCTTTATTTTATTGAGAATGGGCTTGAAGCAATAGCTCTTTTTTTCTTCAAAAAAGTCAAACTAAATAATTATTATGCAAGTGAAGTTACTACTTTTCATTTCACATTAAAACCTTTTAAATCAATACACTATATTTTTTCACTGATTCAAGTGTCAAAGCTTGTTATAATCACATATTATAATAAATTTAGAAAGACACATGATTTTCATAATTTTTAAAGGAGACATAGTTTTACGTTACAAATAAATACATAATACATTTTGTATTGCTATACTTCCAAATCTATGTATCATTATGTACCTTAAATTACAAGACTTTCATTTACATGTAGAATTTGTATCATAACTTTAATTTTATCATTTTTAAATCACACAAATTGATATTTACAAACCAATTCTATCAACAAATTTCAATTTTTTCACAACTTCCTGTCCACTAACTTTATCTAATATTGCTCTTAGTTTATCTACACTCTTTTTAATGTCTGGACTTCCTTTAGAATCTATTTGCTGCTCCTCTGAGTCGGTAGAGTTCAGATCCTTTGCACTCTCAACAGATGAGTCCCTTACTTTTATAATCTCTTGTGAATCACAGACTTTTATTGGTGAATGATGTAACTCAATGTATTTCTGTCCACAAGGCTCAGAATCTTCATCACTTTTAACAGTGTCTATATAAGGTTTATGCAAGATTTCAGGAGCATTCTTGTTCGCTAATACTTTTGAAGCACGCTTAGTGGCTTCTGAATCACTCTCCGATGAGAATTTGAATGCAGGAAAAGAAACATTCTGGCCAGAATCACTAAGCCATGCATCATCACTTTCTGATGTTAATCTTTGTGAATTTCTGGCACTTGATTTACTGTGTTCACGACTTTTTTCTTTTCTTTCTCGGTGTCTAATTTTCTTATCACCTGTTTTCTCTTTCCCTTGAGCAGTTTTTAAGATATTTCTTATCACATGTCTCACATTAATAGGTCTGTGTTGTTCATTTGCTTTATCACTAAATTCAAATTTAAAATCAGCTTCATCTAACAAGTCTTTCCAAGACTCCTTCGGTTGTTTTTTAGATCCAGATTTCAGCTTTCTTCTCGAGTAGGGTTTTCTTGGTGACTTAACAGATTTAGGAGTGATTCCTTGTTCTAGTGTGTTATTCAGTCTTATCTTTCCAGATCTCAGCTTTTTGGCTGATAAAACTTTGCAAGCGCTACCCGTATTTTTCACCTTTTTCTTTTCAACCTGAGATTCTTTTCCAACAAACAGTACATCAGTGGTTATCTTCTCATTGTCTGTATCTAAGTCACTCACATCATTTTCCACTTTTCGTTTCCTTTTGCACACTTTATTATCACCACCCTGTGATAAGTTTTTACGTTTAACAACAAACACATTATGTTTTACTTTATTTGGTTTCTTTTGACTTTTTCTTGGGCTGCCACCTATGTAACCAGATGCCTTTGATTTTTGAGAAGTATCTGCTGTTTTAACATCCTTTGGAATTACTTCTTCCTCTTGAAATGGCTGAAATGTTGCTAGAATAGAAACAGTAGTTCCTTGTCTTTTACAATCTGTAATATTACTTTCAATTACTTCCTTACAAGTAATATCTGAATCGTGAGAAGTGACAATTTTAGTTTTTGTATCACAATTTTCATTTTCAATACTTGAATCTAATTCATCAATACTTTTTGAAGTTTCTAATTCAATATTCTTGCTTTGTACTATTTTACTTGTTGTTTGGTTTACTGACAACTTTTTATTACAACCATATTTTGTTCTTCCCTTTTTTACCTTGTCATTTCTTGGAATATCAATACTGTAATTCTGACTATTATTTTCTTCTTCATTTGCAAAAATGTTCTTTTTACCATTTTCCATTCTATTACTATCGGTTTCAACTTGTTTTAATTTAGAATTCTTTACTTCCTTTGCTTTTACTCTTGATTTCTTGGTATTATGTACACCAACATTTCCAATTACATCTGATCTATCATCATCCTCATACAATTGTTTAGTACATGTATTCAATTCATTTTCAGTTGTCAATACCTTTGGCCTCTTTTTAACAGCCCTCTTTGTCTGTGAATTTTGTTTACTTCCAACTTCACAAAAAAGTTTACAATCTTTTTCATGATTTTTCATGCCCATCATATTAATGCCTGATGTAACATTTTGTTTTTTATGCCTTCTACACAATATTGTTCTTTCTGGAGATTTTTGCACAGCTTGTGTTATAGAATTACTCTGCTCTTGTACCTTTGAATGATTTTCATATTCTTCAACCTGCCTGGTGTTCCCTTTTACATCATCCTCTACTTGCTTAAATGTTTTTCTTCTACACTGAACAGTTCTAACTTGTTCATTTTTGCTTAATGAAACAGATGTATCTGTATCTTTCTTTTTCTTGCTCCTTTTGCCTGCAGGCTCTTGTTTACCTCCAGCATTTCTATCATTGCTTTTAAAAATTCTTTCCTCAGGTGCATTATCAAATTTATTGCTTGGTTTTCCATATGTAGCACTAATTTTACCTACTTTTAATGGAGGTGTCACAGATGGGGATTTGTTCAAACTGTTTCTTTCACAGGAAGCACCAATGCCTGCTTCTTTCAGTTTAATATGAAAAAAATGTTCAAGAAAATTAATTTTATTTTGGCCTTCTTGCCCACTAGATTGTTCAACATTGTTTATGGTTCCATCAATATATGTCTCATTTCTCTCTATTGATGCATCTTCCTTTCTTTTGCTCCCTTTTAGTTTAATACCTTTTTTCAAACATGATTTCTTAACACTATCTTTACTTTTCATCTGTACATCTTCAACATGTTCATTCTGTTCTGTTATTTTGTCAGAGGTCACCTTTCTTTTCTTAACTGGCACTTCATCTTCTTTCTTTCTTGGAAGCCTTTTCTGAGACTGTTTCAAATTTAGACTGTTACCACTAATAACCTTTTGAACAGTTTCTTCGCTTTTTAAAACCACATCAATTTTTCTTTTATTTTTCACTTTATCAAAATTTGTTTCAAAATCTTTAAACTCCACCTGTTTATAATTACAATCCTTGTGGAAGTTGGAGAGTTGTGTTTTCTGTTTCTTTTCATCATCTACTTGACTGTTATTGTTAGAACAGGAGACTGAAGCATCTTTTAAAGTATTTTGGGATGCCTCAATGTTTTGCTTACCATGTTCATCAGAAATTTTGCTTGCTGAACTAATGCTACAAATTTCTGTCTCTGTCACAGTTTTGTTTCTACTTTGTTTAATTTTGGATTCTTTCTTCGAGCTGTCCAGTGTTTTAGAATCATTTGTTTCTGCTGTCTTTTTTCTCCTAGATCTCTTGACACAAGTTTTAACATTCTTTATTATTTCTCCACTATTGTTGCCTAACATTTTTTGGCCTTCTTTTTGACCATGAAAGTCTGAAACTGCACACTTTGATACAACTAAATTTTTCTTTTTAAAGTCAACAGATTTTTTTGCTTTCAAATATTCATTTTCCTTAGGGGATGAAAAGTAAATTGTCAAGTCATCATTATCACTATCGCCATTATTTACAGCCTTATCATTATAACTTGATTCAGAAGCACACTGCTGATTCTCTTCTTTAAAAGATCTGTCTTTATTTCGTTTTCTCTGCCCTGGTTTAAATGTTTTCCAAAGATTCTGAATGTGAGATCTATTTCTATTGACCTCGTTGTTTATTAAACTGTCGTTCCGAGTATTCTCAACTTTAAGCGGACTGTTACACTGAACAAGAGCACCTGACTTAGTTACTTTAAGAATGATAGGAGATTCAGTCTTTTTCTTTTCACCTGAAAGGTCTGATGAAAACTGATTTTGTGAAGATAGAACATTAACTGAATTGGTTTCTTTAACATTTGAATCTTCTTCATTTGTTGGTATTATATCAAGTTTACCTGGAGAATTAACATCCAATTTACTCGGTGAAGACCATTCAAGTTTGTCAGATGTCCAATGACATGACTCAATTTGTGACAGAAATTCAAGTTTGCTTGGTGTCAATGGATCCAGTTTATTTGAAGAATTAAGTATATCTAATTTGGAAGGTGTCAGCATGGACATACTGTCATCTATATTTATGTTTTCTGGGTCAACTGCATTCAATGGAAAGGCGATAAGTTGACTATCATCAAAATTAAAGGAGTCTTTGTTTCCAGCATTACCATCTACAACATCGCCAGAATCCTCCTTACCTGGCACTCTGCTAAATTCTAAATCTTCTTCATTCTTATTATGGTCATAAGCAAACGATGCATCCAGTACTTCATCGATAACATTATGCTTTACCCTTTCATATACTCTGGTAAGTTTATTATTTATTCTAACAAATCTCAATTGCATACCATGTTTTGTTGTGTCTTGTGTGTTTGCTGTTTTAACTAACTCAACATTTGAATCATCAAAATTGCTATCAACTGTGTCTGTATCATTCAACAAATCTATACATTCATAATCACTATTTTTTGCCAATGAAGCACTTGCTAACTGGGCATTGTTATTTTCATTACTATGTACTGTATTTTGCTGGGAAAAGTCAAGCTTCTTAACTGTGTTAAGATTATTATCACCTTTATATTTTGTGGGCAATCTTGGAGATTTGCTAGTATCATATTTAATATGCCCATCTTCAAGTCTAATATACACTATTTCAACTTTTGGAGATGCTTGATTTTCAGATGTTATTGAAAATCTGTTCTCACTTTGCTCATCTCCATCTAGTGACATTGGCTGACCTTCACTATTGTAACCTTGATCCATGTTGGCTGCTTTTGGTGATTTGTGAGGAGATACTTTCTGTGGACTAGAATTACATGTTGTCTCATTACCTGGTGACTCCTTTAACAGGGTCTTTGAAGGAGAGTTGTATTGCTTAAAGGCACTAAACAAACTTTTACCCACAGTATTTGGTGATTTTTTCTCTTCTAAGCTTGACACATTTGGCTGTAGAACAATTTTTTCTGATGAATCTTTTTCATCTGCTTCTGTTTTTTTGTCACCATTTTCAACATTCTCTGCATTGTGTAGTCTTGCACATAAAGAAAGCCAATCTTTTTCATTTATCAGATAATATTTATCACTTTGGCTTGAACTTTCACCACACTGTTTCCTTTCAATATCATCATTGTCTTTGTTATTCTGTATTCTTATTTCTTCTTTCTCAGGTATAGGTTCATCCAGTATTTCTTCTATGTACCCTACACCTTGTTCCTCTTCATGACATATCTTAATTTCACTAGGCAATTTAGAATCTAAATGTGCATTATTTTCAACATTCTGCTCAACCACTGCACTACTTTCATTTTGACTATTCACAGTATTTTCTACCGGATGAACTTTATCATTCTCTGTTTTTATAAGAACTTCATTGTGTTTACCTTCTAAAACTAGATTGTGTTTGTCGTTCTCTACTGTTTCTTCCTCATCAACATAAGCTATATTCTGGTTTTCAAGTGAACTATGACATACAGGATCTGGTTGTTTAACCTTTGTCAAGTAGGAAAATAATTCCTCCTCATCTGAAGAATGATCATCTTGAACATAGATTTTTCTCTTTTCAATTCTTTTTAATATTTCTCTCAATGTATTTTCCATTGTTTTCAATCTTTCTCTCACTTATTAAGGAATAGTGCAAGCCTCTGTAATGACCTTGACATCATCTGTGTTATCTGAAATATGATAAAATGTATATATACCATTATAATACTGCATGTTTGTAATGTCGCTTTTCATTGGGTACACTTTTCATTGGGTAAGCAAGACGTTTTTATAGTTTTATATACACAGCTGGTGTGGATTTATGATGAAATTTTACTTTTTTCTCTAAAAAAATATGTTGTTTGCAATATAACCCTTGCCTAATGGCTCTGGTAAATATTTCCAAACAACTGTTTATATAAGGCCATATACTAGTAACCTGTCAAAAATCTTTATAAAGAATATTATTGTTATTATGAGAAAACATTATTAGTCACATGAATTTTTTTTTAAACTACATACATGCATGTACAAATACATGCATTACCTGAATTTGGTAATTGGCACATGTAGGATGCTCTTAATTAAACAAAAAATGTGTTTTGGGTTAGATTTTTAGCTAAATCTCCATGAAGTTTATAAATCTCAAATCATTTCAATGAACATATTATATGATTCAATTTACAATAATACAAATAGTGTCACATGGCAAATGTCTAAGTGTTACTGGTGGTGGAAAAAACTGCAGATCTATGTTCCTTTACCCTCTACCGGCTTGTTATGAAAAAGAATTCAATGTTAATCCACAGCTGTTCGAAAATTTAGAGGCCATATAGTTTAATATATAATCTTCTGTGATGAACGGCAAAATCAACTTGTGAATCAAATTTATTAATGTTGGTTACTTTCTATTATGTAGAAGTCCTAAATGAGCCATACACATATGTATGGTAATTTAGTGATAAGTTTAGTACTTTTACCAAAATTACAACATGTACACTGTCATGACTAACTGAGATCAGATATAGAGCAATGTGAATTAAAGGTTGGCTAGACATTAAAATATGATTATTATGAATCCTTCTAACACCAACCACCTTTGACATTACAACATGGTTAAATAAACTAATTTTTTTCCTTTACTGTACTTCAAACAAGGACAATGTTCAATTATTATCAATTATGAGGGATTTTCAAAATAGCCAGCAGCATAGAGGCTGACTGGACTGCATGGGTATAGGCAGGCATTATCATACAATACTGGGGATACAGGCAGACACTATCATACAATACTTGTGATATAGGCAGACACTATCATACAATACTGGGGATACAGGCAGACAGTGGCAGACATTATTGACAATAGTGGTGATATAGGCAGACACTATCATACAATACTGGTGATATAGGCAGACATTATTGACAATAGTGGTGATATAGGCAGACATTATCATACAATACTGGTGACATAGGCAGACATTATTGACAATAGTGGTGATATAGGCAGACACTATCATACAATACTGGTGATATAGGCAGACACTATCATACAATACTGGTGATATAGGCAGACACTATCATACAATAACTGGTGATATAGGCAGACACTATCATACAATACTGGGGATATAGGCAGACATTATCATACAACATTGGTGACATATGCAGACATTATTGACAATAGTGGTGATATAGGCAGACATTATTGACAATAGTGGTGACATAGGCAGACATTATTGACAATAGTGGTGATATAGGCAGACACTATCATACAATAGTGGTGACATAGGCAGACATTATCATACAACATTGGTGACATATGCAGACATTATTGACAATAGTGGTGATATAGGCAGACATTATTGACAATAGTGGTGACATAGGCAGACATTATTGACAATAGTGGTGATATAGGCAGACACTATCATACAATAGTGGTGATATAGGCAGACATTATCATACAATAGTGGTGATATAGGCAGACACTATCATACAATAGTGGTGACATAGGCAGACACTATCATACAATACTGGTGACATAGGCAGACATTATCATACAACACTGGTGACATAGGCAGACATTATCATACAATACTGGTGACATAGGCAGACATTATTGACAATAGTGGTGATATAGGCAGACACTATCATACAACACTGGTGACATAGGCAGACACTATCATACAATATTGGTGACATAGGCAGGCATTATCATACAACACTGGTGATATATGCAGACATTATTGACAATAGTGGTGATATAGGCAGACACTATCATACAATACTGGGGATATAGGCAGACATTATCATACAACATTGGTGACATATGCAGACATTATTGACAATAGTGGTGATATAGGCAGACACTATCATACAATACTGGGGATATAGGCAGACATTATCATACAATACTGGTGACATAGGCAGACATTATTGACAATAGTGGTGATATAGGCAGACACTATCATACAATACTGGTGACATAGGCAGACACTATCATACAACACTGGTGACATAGGCAGGCATTATCATACAACACTGGTGATATAGGCAGACACTATCATTCAATACTGGTGATACATCCAGACACTACCATACAATACTGGTGATATAGGCAGTCACTATCATACAATACTTGGGATATTGGCAGACACTATCATACAATATTGGTGATATAGACAGATTTATCATACAACACTGGTGATATAAGCAGACTTTGTCATACAATACTGGTGATATAGTCATACATTATCATACAACACTGGTGATATTGGCAGACACTATCACACAATACTGGTAACATAGGCAGACATTATCATACAATACTGCTGACAGGCAGTCATTATCATACAATACTGGTGATATAGGCAGTCATTATCATACAATACTGGTAAAATAGGCAGTCATTATCATAGTTCATAAAATACTTGTGATATAGGCAGTCACTATCATACAATACATGTACCTGTGATATTGGCAGTAATTATCATACAATATTGGGAATATAAGCAGTCATTATCATACATTACTGGTAATATAGACAATCATTATCATACATACCATAATTATACCCAGCTGGATTATGAGGTTTTCCTTTGACTAGACATGGCAGCTAGTTCTTACTTCCAGAACCTAAATAATGCAAATAAAGCTATAAATAATCAAGTCAAACACATCATGTGACATATGACAGAAAATTAAATTGGTAATGAATGAGTTAGAAATTAAAATTTCCCTAGAGTTAAAGCTAAATGCCTCCAGATGAACAGAAAATTTTCAAGAAAATCAAATTTCAGAAAAATGTACTAAAAAAAATAACATTTGTTAACATAAATTCCAAGATCAAGGAAAATAATTCTAGAAATAGTCATGCTAGAGTTATGAACCTTGTCACACAACATGTGTATAATGATAAGAAATACATATTTGAAGTTTGAAGTAGATACCTTAAAAAGTAAAGAAGTTATAATATTTCTTAAAGAAAATCTTAAGTTCAAAGAGAGATAAATCTGTAAATATTGCTTCAAGAGTTATAAACATTGTCACATAAATGTAATTGGTGATAAGGAATAAGTATTTGAAGTTTGAGTTAGATACCTTTAAAACTAAAAAAGTTATAGTAACAAGAGGGCCATGATGGCCCTGAGGTCGCTCACCTGTATATAGCCCCCCCTCCCCCCGTGCCAATGTTTACCCAAGGGCTTTTATTTGTTTATTTGAACAAACTTGGTAGACACCCATAAGAAGATGTTTCATGCTAAACATCTAAGTTCTAGCTCATTGGGTTTTTTAAAAGAAGATTTTTTAAGTTTTTACTATACACATATAGTTAAAAACAATGACACCCCTGAGGCAGGGCCAGTTTTGACCCCCGGGCTTTAATTTGTAGATATTTACTTATAGATGTTTCATGCTTAATATCTAAACTAAAGCTATTTGGGTTTTTTCAAGAAGATTTTTAAGTTTTTGCTATACACATATAAGGAAAATCAATGACCCCCGGGGCGGGGCCAGTTTTGACTCCAGGGCTTTTATTTGAACATACTTGGTAGACACCCATTAGAACATGTTTCATGCTAAATATCTTAGCTCTAGCTCTTTGGGTTCTTTAAAAGAAGATTTTTTAAGTTTTTACTATATGCATATAGGGAAAATCAATGACCCCCTGGGGCGGGGCCAATTTTGACCCCAGGGCTTTTATTTGAACAAACTTGGTAGCCATTCACAAGAAGATGTTTCATGCCAAATATCTAAGCTCTAGCTCTTACGGTTCTTTAAAAGAAGATTTTTTTAAGTTTTTACTATATGCATATAGGGAAAATCAATGACCCCCTGGGGCGGGGCCAATTTTGACCCCAGGGCTTTTATTTGAACAAACTTGGTAGCCATTCACAAGAAGATGTTTCATGCCAAATATCTAAGCTCTAGCTCTTACGGTTCTTTAAAAGAAGATTTTTTAAGTTTTTACTATATGCATATAGGGAAAATCAATGACCCCAAGGGGTGGGGCCAATTTTGACCCCAGGGCTTTTATTTGAACAAACTTGGTAGACACTCACTAGAAGATGTTTCATGCCAAATATCTTAGCTCTAGCTCTTTGGGTTCTTTAAAAGAAGATTTTTTAAGTTTTTACTATATGCATATAGGGAAAATCAATGACCCCAAGGGGTGGGGCCAATTTTGACCCCAGGGCTTTTATTTGAACAAACTTGGTAGACATTCACTAGAAGATGTTTCATGCCAAATATCTAAGCTCTAGCTCTTACAGTTCTTTAAAAGAAGATTTTTTAAGTTTTTACTATATGCATATAGGGAAAATCAATGACCCCCCTGGGCGGGGCCAATTTTGACCCCAGGGCTTTTATTTGAACAAACTTGGTAGACACTCTTTAGAAGATGTTTCATGCCAAATATCTAAGCTCTAGCTCTTATGGTTTTTTAAAAGAAGATATTTAAAGATTTTTCTTTCGGTTGCCATGGCAACCAGAGTTCTGCATGGAATTAAATTCTTTGAACAATTTTTAAAGGTGACCACCAAAGGAACATTCCTGTGAAGTTTGGATGAAATTGGCTCAGTGGTTTATGAGGAGATGTCATTTAAAGCAAAAGTTTACGG